AGAACTGCAGTCAGCTGAAGTAGCCTGCAGTGCTGCATTTAACCACTGCGCCACCTTGGCTCTTTGTTTTAATATAAAAATTAACCGAGGTACAAAAATGCTAAAGTGTGACAAAGTGTGAGAAAGGGAGGGTCTGAAGGAAGTCCTGCCTTAGCACTTGGCCACTACAAGTGCCTCCCCAAATGAGTGATATTGAGCTGCCCACGCCCACCTCATTTCCCCTGAGATCAAACACAACTCTGATGTGGCCCTTAATGAAATCGAGTTTGACACCCCTTGGAATGATAAGAGAAATATCAGAGACTGAAGTTGAAACAAATACTATAAATGTTTGGGTCCCCAAAAGTATTAAGTTAAGAAAAAATCTTAACAAGTCAAACAAGAAATAAAAGGCAAAAGAAAATAATACAAGATGAGTAAACAAGGAAATCACCAGCATCACGGAATTAAACAGGATTAAATTGGCTAGGTAAGAATTTTTTTATCATTCGAGTTATACAACTGAATATTTATACAATTTTAAACATTGCAGGCCAGTAGCTGTAAATATCAACAGAAATAATGAACACAGCATAAAATCATTAAGAAATAATAATAATAATGATAATGAATGATGATGATAATAATGATGATAATGAATGATGATGATGATGATAATAATAATGATGATGATGATGATAATAATAATAATAATAATAAATCTTTATAGAAAAAGATCTACCCTTGTTTAACACATCATTTAACGATGATATTAAAACTTCACGTTAAGAAAACCCCAAATTTCAGATAATTTCTTAAATGTTATTTTATTTCAATACGACTACATAGATTGTCTTGGATTCCGGGGAGCGCCTCTGATGCTCCTGGGTTTGCTTATGAAGGTTTTCGTTCTAGCTCGTCCCACAGCCATTCATACCTTCACAACAACCGAGCGCAACATTTTGCCATTCAGAGAAAATTAAAAACCTTACCCACACAGACACTTCGTGCTTCTCCCCACACGAAATCCAGAACCCGGGAATGTGGCAAAGCCCGCCTCCTTTTGGCAAGGAGTAGGAAAGCGAAAGCGAAACCTATCGTTTTTCGGGAACTAAGCTGGAACAGATAACAATTGCTCGGGTTTCTTTGCGCTGCAGGTCCAACGGGGGATTTCCTAAGAGTAAAGGCGGTGCTTTAAAATGGCTTTAATGCACGGTTTCTTTCTCCTTCCTTCCTTCCTTCCTTTCTTCTTTCTTTCTTTTTCATTCTTTCTTTCCTTCCTCTCTCCTTCCTTCCTTTTTCTTGACAACCTGTAGCACCTAGCGGTACTAAAGTTGCTTGCATAAAAATGCAACTATTTAACGACTGAATTTGCTCTTTTAAACGTTTCTCCAAACGAACCCCATTTGGCCCCTTTTTCTTCGTTGAAGGTCGCACAGACTGCCTTCCTTCTACGGCTTCTCGGCGCTAAAAACCTTTGCGTAAAATACAGGGAATCGCTGAACAACAAGAATAACGTAAATAAACTTGGGGGAAACTGCGTGCCGTGCGATCGCATCATGTGGCTCCTTTTGTGCCGGTCCCTAAACCCCGCGCCTTGGCCAGGAGATTTGGCTCCCTCCCCACCTAAGGAACTCCGAGTTCGCGTGTAATAGGAACACACGCCGGCTTTTTCTGCGGGGAGGGGTTTGCAAGTTGCCTCCAGCGCATGCGCGGTGAGGAGCCGCTGACAGTTTTGTTTGGATTTGTGGCGCAGCGTTGAGCCCTGGTGGGTCTCGCCATTGTGCGAGCAGCGGCGGGTGGGCTTGATGGCGGCTGAGGCTGAGGCAGGGGCCGACCCGGCTTCCGCGGAGTGGGAGGCCCCCACGCGCGTGTTGCGGGCTCTCACCTGGCTCGGCCAAGAGTTCCTGTCGGACTGGGAGGCCCAGGACTTGCGGGCCGCCCTCTTCCAGCTGCTGCTGCTCTGGCTGCTGGTGAGCTTGCTGGGCATCCAGGTGGCCTGGAGGGTCTACGGGAACACCGTCACCAGCCTCTACTATCGGCAAGGTAGGGCTCCCCGCAGAAGCCCCTGCCCTGCCCTGAGTCCACCTCCGATCCGCTTGCCCCCCCCCCCCTGCGTGCACCCGCGATTCGCTCCTGGGGCTCCCGTTGTCTCCCTTCGGGTGGTGCGAGCGGGAGATCAGCCCGGGTCTCCCTCCAAGTGTGCCCCCCCCCCCGCTTGGAGAACCCGGTGCAGGGAAAGGGTCGATCTTGACTCGCTGCCTGGCAGCCTTGCGAGAGAGCAGACAGGAAGCACAGCCAGATAATTCTACTTTATTGCACAATTACTTTATTGCAAGGTTACATTTGGCAGAATCGCGCGACTCTATAAATCTCTATATAACAGATGTCTCTTTCCCCACCTTCCCGTTCCCGATCCCCATTACAGCTCAAGAAACTAGGGAGGGTCTTTTGACTCTCTTCTGAGCCACTTGACCTGTCTGCATGGCTCCCTGCTGCAGGCTAAGTTGCCTTTTAGTGGACTGTTCCCTTGGCTGCAGGTCTTTGCCTAAGGTCATTCCCACCTCCCATTACATTGTCCCAAAGAGTTAGTGGTGAAGCCCTGGCCAGAAGCCCTCTGCCAGGCCAGGTCGATTGTTCCAGCCTCTCTGGCAGCTGAGTTGACCTGTGTGTTGGTGGTGGGAGAGAAGCAGTAAGGCAGTAAAGAAATCATATCGGATATGGGTTCTGTCCCATTCCTGAGTGGTCTTTAACTAGTTGCTGGCCAGTTCTGTTACCAAGCATTAGTCTATTCTGGCTAGGTTATCCTAAAGATACATATTTTTCACTCTGTCCTGAATGCCAGTTCTGTTACCAATCCCCCCTCCCAGTCATTTATAAAAAGTATGCACAATGGTTGGGCAACAAGTGTTACAGTGTTCTCTCTCTGTGATCAAGTATTTCTGATACTGAGGACTCTTCTAAGATTAATTTGCACTCTGCAGAGAGAAACATGGCATCATTGAATTCTGAAGCGTTATTAAATTGACATTTGTGTACATGCAACTCCACGGAGACTAGTTTTGTCTTAACTCCTCCAACAACCCTTCCCCAATTGTCAGGACATTGGCCATGAATATCGTAATACTCTAGAAGCTGATCACAGAGCAAAATGTTCCTATCTTGGCAGGAAATAGCAAGGGAGGGGGGGAAATGAGAGTAAATGTTCTGAAAATATTTATTTCACTCGTATTGTAAAAGGTGAACATTCTCCTACTTTGCAGAATCTATATTTTTCCCAGGGCTATGGAAGTTTAGCAATGAATTATTAGTTACTGTGAAATTTTGGTGGCTGTGTCTATAGTTAATTACCTAGTTTAACTTGGCCTTATTCTAGTTTTATTCTATTTGATAGAATATTCATATTAGATGCTATAGATATGTAATTTAGGCTCCAGTTACTGAGAACGGCCCGGTGTGACCTGAATGGCTAGGCTGCAGGGGAACTGGAGGTCGTCTGACTTTGGCGGAGGCCATTCCCCACATAATGCCTGACTCGTGCTTTCCAAAGTGCTTGTCAGGTCTTCTGTGTGGTCTTTATAAAAACAGGTTTAGTGTTGTTTTCTGAAAGAATACTAGAGCTTTGTTTAAAAAACTCAGGGTTAGCACTTTCTTGAGAACACACTAATTCTGCACTGTACAAATCTAGAAAAAAAGAGACAGCTTCCGCCAAAGTCA